AAACCAGTGAGCTGGAGGTAGGGATGAGAACATCTTCTAAAATGAAGTGTAGAATGAATCAATGAATGAATGAATAAATAAATAAATAAATAAATAAATAAATAAATAAATAAATAAATTTAAAAAATGAAGTGTAGAGAAATCAAGCCAAAATATGGAGAAGCTGCTAAGAGACACAAATAAGACCATGAGAAATTCCAAACTCTTCCTGAGTCAGTCAAGAGAATGTCAAGACTCAATATTAAAGTGAGAAATACCTGAATTCTTTTAGCGTACTGATTCTAGAAGCCAGAACAAATCCTCACCAAGATCCTTTTTAAAGCCATGCCTAGACACACCAGAGACAGCAGAATAGGGACAATGAAAATATCTCAATCATCCAGAGTTAAGAATTGTACCTTTACTCATGAAGACCAATTCTGTCACTTATACAGACAAGATTCTCACCAGGAAAAGCTGAGGCCAGAAAACTGTACGGTATTTTCCAAGAACTGAGAGAATATAACTGGCAGCCCTGAATTTGACAGCCTATCATCCCAAATTACAAATACCTCAATAAATTAAATTTTCTTGAATGATTACACTTAATGAATAAAAGCTAATCACATTACGCTTCCTCCCTCCACTCACAAGGAGCCCTCCTCATAAGCCAAACCCACAAGGAAACCACAGCAAAAAAGAACCTCTGGCTGCAGGACATAGAGGTTGGACTCCCAAGGCAGAGAGTAGTAGGTGGAGAGGAATGAGAAGACAGAACAATTTATTCCTCTAAGCTGCATGGTATCTTGTAGCATTTCGATTATTAAGCTTTGGAACCACAGTGGTATCTACACTACTTCATAATGCCTGGTCACTTTAAGATTCAAAACAAGATAATAGCAGTAATGGATTATAACCCATGCAATAAAAGAAATTAGTATGTATTGATATAAATAAGGAAAAATTAAAAAGCCACTGGAAGGCCCACTAATAAAACGTAAAATGACAGAATTTTAAAAATCACTCCATTTCAAAACCACCCTTGTCATCATTGACCGAAGCAAGAATCAGCAATAGACACTACAGTTAGCAAGTCAGTATTTGATTAGGTACAGCATATTTACATTGTCCACAAGCATCTCTTCTCAAAACACCTTTAAGTTATAAAAGGAGAACATTCATTTTCGAGTTGAGAAACCTAGTGCGAACTACCTTAGCCAAGTGATCTAAGTTAACAGAAAAAGGTGACCACATGGGCCTTTCAATAAAAGTGTGATGTGAAGCTAATTAAAAGGAAAATTGAGACAAATCCAAATTGAGGGATGGTGTGTGAAATAATTTACCTGTACTCCTCAATAATATCAATTTCATTCAGAACAAAGTGAGGCTGGGAAAGTTCTTTAGAGTAGAGGCCAAAGGAGCATGACAACAAAGTGCAATGCATTATCTTGAATTACATCCTGGAGTGGAGAAAAACAACTCTCTAAAGGAGCCTATTTGTAGAATTGGCAAAATGTAAATAGATTCCATCAACTGATTAAGAGTACTGTCTTATAATATATGTGGGGAAAGAGAAGTATCATCTGCAACTCACTTTCAAGTGGATTAGAAAAAGAGGTAATATTTTTTTAAAAGAGGTAATATTGATATGTGGAGTGAGAATATGAGAAATCAGATGGGGCCAAATGCTCATAACTAATAAATCTGGATGAAGAATTCATTAGGGTTTTCGTATTCTTCTCACACATTTAAATTAGAAGTTATTTCAAAATAAAATTAATAACCCACAGCAAACAAATCAACTCACAGGTATGAATTCTGTAAACTTAACAATGCTGATCTTAGCAATTTTTACTAAATCCAAAATAAATCCAAAATAAATGCACTGACATTAGGGAATTTTTTCCATTTGTTATGTTATATGTGGTATGAACTTCGAATGATCAAAAACTCAGTTGGAAAAACCACACTCAGCACAGCCAAGTTTAGCCAGCAGGCCATTTCCTTTTATGGAATATGTACCTTTGTTTCTGCAAGGACATAATGCAGCTTTGAATTAAGTTGTCTTAAGTTTAGTGGCTGTTTCAGTCTTTTCAGTGAATCTGTAAAGGCTTTCAAATGTCACCTGAGTGTTAATCTCTTCCATTAAAATAGTTTCAACAACCAACCTGAAATTATTTTTCCTTTTTCTCCCACAATAGTATGCTTTCATTTATTCAGCTATATAGAAACTTAAATTTATTTGATATCCTTTGTATCTTCACTTCTTAAAGGCCAAAAACAAAAAAAAAAAAAAAGAAGAAGAAGAAGAAAGAAAAAGAAAAGAAATTGTAGTAGCATCTCAGTTTGTGAATGAAATAGCCCAGCTTTTCCTATTGGGAGACTAATAGCATCATAGCAGAGAAGGAACAGATGAGCCAGGGAGAGCCCATGACCTTAGCAGAGAACATCAGCTTCCTGGGTCATTAGCTGGAGTGTGATGATGCCCACTCATATTTATTACTGTGTTCTATTCATTGCTCTTGTTCTTTGTTCGTATCTCTACAACCAAATTTAAATTTCATGGAAAGTGCCTCCTCTGTACCCCATGGAGAGCAGAGACCATATATGTGCTTTGGGTTAACCTTGGAAATTACCCTGAAGGAGAGGTACTTCTTCCTAACCCATACCACACCACACCAGCTATATTTGAATAACATGGTTGGCATGAAAAAATAAACCGGAACTTAAATTCCTGCTTGCCTACTATTAAACTCCTCCTCAGGTCCTAAGAGAGGTTGAAATCTTACAGATGACTTAAATTGGGTTGCCTTGCTCAGGGTTCACACCCAGCACACATTAGAAAGGGATTGGATGGGACAGGACGGGGCAGGGTGGCATGGGATGAGACAGGGTGGGATGGAAGCCAATTTAGCTGAAAGAGAATGACTCAAGTAGAATGGAATTCATGTCTAAGGAAAGGACAAAAGGGGGCTGTACTCAGTCAATTAAGCACGATGGCACTTCTGACCTCAAGCTCTATGGTATTTAAGAAATAAACCTCATCATTGTCAAGAAATACCCCTGCACCATGTTATATCAAATAACCACCATCCAACTTTCCTGAAGCTTACATTTGGCAAATACAAAGGTTTGTTTTAGAAAAGTTAATTCTGGGGTTGACTGACAGGAAAATTGAGTTTGGTGGGAAGATGTGGGTCACAGGAGGCAGTCATAATTTAAATAAATAAATAAATACATACATACATACATACATACATACTGAAAAGTGGATCAAAAAGAACAATGATTTTATCCAACCAAAAGGGAAATGTGCCCAGAGGAGGAGAAAGGGAGGGAGGGAGGAACAGAGCGAGGGAGGGAGGAATGGAGGGAGGGAGGGAGGGAGAGAGAGGGACAGAGAGGAAGAGAGAGGGTGAGGGGAGAGAGAGGGAGAGAGAGAGAGAGAATGTGAGCGAGCACACAAGTACCACAACCTGGGGGAGGGAGTTTCCCTAAAACAAGGCTAGGAACAGTTCACTAAATGGCAAGCATTTGTTCAGGGTAAGGTGTCTGCACAAGAGTGAAATTTTCATCTGATATCAATAAGGTTGCAACAGAGCAAAAACGGGCAAGATTTCACAGAGATGGAAGGTAACACAGATGATGAAAATACAGAACCAGGTTGCTAAGATTTACCAAACCAGAGTCAGAGGATACTGTCTGAACTTACACATTATCTACCCAAAAATATGTGAACGCCCAGTTTTCTCCAATTTAAACTCGGTGCTTTTGCTCTCTAAATGGTTAACTAGGAAGAGAATATATTCGAGATCCATGGCCAAGAAGCAACACAGTCTTAGAGAGACTTCAATGTTATATCTCAATCCCAATTTGACAATTTTAAGGGGAAGAAAAAGCTGGTATATCACTGCTGTGGATTGCGAAACTCATATTCACACATGACTTACAGTAGAGAAGTTCCATCAGTAGGAATGAATCTCACAAAATCTCTTGAGTCAAAAGGGCAAAAATCCACAGGTTTTGATGCTGCTTATTTTTGACAAAGGAAGAAAGCATAGGACGTGACTTCCAATTGGGTTATTGAGGACTAGAAAGTCGATTTTCTGATACTAAATCAAAAGAGAACTCACTAATCACTGAAATGCACTTGAGATAAATCCCCACACCCTTTTGTTTATTGGTATTATCATATGAATCGTAATAATTCCTCTATGGAAGGCATTGGTAACTTGGAAGTTATTTTAACAAGATTTTCATATATCTGTAAGCAACCTAATGAGCCAACTCGTAATATATTCATTTATTTAAGAGAAAACTCAGGGGGTGTCTTAATCAGGCTCACAATGCTATTAAGTATCAAATTTAAAATATAAATTCAAGCCGGTTTGGCTTCAAAGCCAGTAGCCCTAACTACTCTGTGACACTGTGGTTTGCCAGTTTACTCCATTTTACTCTCCATCCAATGTGGCTTGAACCCTGTACTGCCATTCATAACAATATAGGTAGTTGTACTTGACAGTGAAGAGGTTTTACAGCTGCACTAGAACTCTTAAAACTGTCTTTTTTTTTTTTGATCAACCACCAAAGTTGACATTTACTAGTTGCAATCAAGTGAGACAAAACAAAACAAAACAAAAAAGCCAGTCATAAAGCCAAAGGCATAACAGAGTCAATCCAAAGAAAGCACTGTCCTGCTCCTGTCACCTGCATTTACCATTTTTACTGTAGCCACCTGGGGCTCCCTGCAACCACTAGACTATCCTTAACCCTGTCAAGAAGGAATAGAAGGAATTTCCAGGAATCATCATCCCTCTAACAAGCAGTTCTCAAAAGATGAGACAGCAGTTCATGTGTAAACACCCAGTTTCCTCATCCCTTATGTTAGACAACTCTGAGACATTTGCTGAGCCTTCCCACCAGGTCTCCCCAGTGGGAATGAGCTCCAGCTGCCCACACAGAACGTATTCATGAGCTGAGGCATCCCAGAATTAACGGCCCCATCTTCTCCAGTTCCTTACTGATGCTTCCTGGGATCATCTTCCTGATGGAAAACTGCAGAAGAAAAAAAAAAAAAGTTTAAGTTTAGTGGTCCCACAAGGTAAAATCACTTATTTAGAAGTCAAATACGGCTTTACACATATGGAGAAAATAGCAACTGCTTTTTCATATTTCACAAAAATACATTATTTGCTCTTTCTCCCTCTTACACTAAATGTGCCCCCCAAAAATAATGAAGTAAACCAGATTAAGGTAATTTATTATTCCAAATTAATATTACAGATACAAAGTGTTGCTCCCTTCCCCCCACAAAACAAAACAAAACAAAACAAATTGATAGGCTGAAATCCTAAGCCACAGCATCTCAGAATGTGACTGTATGTGGAGACAGGATCTGTAAAGAGGTGAATAAGATAAAATGCAGTCATTAAGGTGGCCTCTAAAACAGTATGACTGGTGTCCCTTTAAAACGAAATGTGGGGGGCACCTGGGTGGTTCAGTTAGTTAAGCACCTGCCATTGGCTAGGGTCATGATCTCAGATTCTTGGGATCAAGCCCCAAGTGAGGTTCCCTTCTCAGTGGGGAGTCTGCATCTCCCTTTCCCTCTGCCTTCCCCCATCACTTCATTCCCCCCCACCCCCTGTGCTCGCTTTCTCTCTCTTTCTAAAATAAATAATATCTTTTAAAAAAAGGAATTTTTGACTCAAACTTCCATAGAGTCAGGGCCATGTGAAGACATAGGAAGAAAATGGCCATCTACAAGCCAAGGATAAGACATAAGCAAGGGCTTCAGAAGGAAGCAACACTGCCATGCCTCGAGAACCATGACAAAGTACTTCTCTGTCATTTTAGCCTCTCACTCTTTGACACATTTTTGAGGCAGCACCAGCAAACAAACACAGACAGAAACTGCTATTATCATTGTATTGGAAGGACCAGTTAAATATGCACAGGTAATGTCAGCAAATGCAAAGAAACTATTATCTATAAAACACCAGGCCAGACAATTTACATGCATTACTTATATTGATGGTAACAAATTTCCATTTTAGAGAGTTGCTACTGTCCCAAGTTTACTTCTGAGAAAACTAGAAGTTAAGGAAGGTGGGTACCTTCCCCGGTCTCACTGCTTCTGTCGATAAGACCAGAGTAGTGACATTCTACACCTGAGATTTGCTAGAGGAGCCTCTTAAAATAAATCAGACTATCCTCATCTGATCTTACACTATTAGTGATGCACAATCAAGGATTAGTAATTTCATTTCTCTATGATGTAGTTTCTCTATTTGTTAAAAGCAAGGTATCTTAAGTCTGGGTACAAGAAGAGATTATAGCAATTGAAGATGATAAATTCAGAATGGATTTAAAAGACATCTGGGCCTGAAAAAAATTGATAAGCCTAATTCTTCCAACCACTGTTGTAATCACATGGCAAAGACAAAGCAGGGTTCTCATGTGAAATTTCACTGGGTCTCAGCACTATATTTTCGTCTTTCAAGACAAGCAGTGAGCCATCCGTGGACACTTTCTCCATGTAAAGTCAACCTAATCATGCAGCAGCAGGGAGTTCACCAGTGTACAGGGGCCCATTATTCATCACTTCTGAGGAGCAGCTACTGTGGTCCTAGTTAGTGATTAAATATTTAGTGTCAGTAATATAGGCAACAGAGAAAAGAAAATACTGCACTTCTTAAATGCCTTGGAAAGCATATTGAAGGCAGCCAGTCAATCACATGAGTGACAGGCTCTGAGTACCTCATTAAAGGTGCTAAAATATAAAATGTGCTCCAGATCCTTCCTGCTTGCTTGCTCTCCCTATTAGGCACTATTTGGGACACTCTTGTTCACATTTTAGAACTAGCTTGAAGCAAAACTCACTATGAAGGACAAAGAAGTAGAGATTTTATAAATTATTTGCTTTACCACCAACTCTAGATGGACTTGATATATTGCCTGAGGCATTACAATGCTAGGGAGCCTGGGAGCTGTCCCCCTTTTAGAGCACAGAACAGCAGACTTGCAGCATGACAAAATAGAATAATCTGCATCCCTTCCATTGGACGTTCCTCCACCGCAAAAACACTGATGTATTCATGCACAGGCCTCCAGATGTTTCTCAACTAGGCACATGTGTAAGTACAACGACATATAGAGTACAGTTTGCATCTCTGTCCCCTGAAGCCAGTGCCAGCTATTTCAAACTGGGGTTATGACTTGATATAGGTTCACATACCCTAGTGAGACCTCTTCAGATTCTATCAAGGGCAGACCTGACACCCAGAATCTCAGAATATGATGGATTTACAGAGTTAATTAAATCAGGTGTAGAGGGATGCCTGGGTGGCTCAGTGGTTGAGCATCTGCCTTTGGCTCAGGGCATGATCCCAGGATCCGGGATCAAGTCCCACATCAGACTCCTTGCAGGGAGCCTGCTTCTACCTCTGCCTATGTCTCTGCCTCTGTGTGTGTGTATGTGTCTCATGAATAAATAAATAAAATCTTTTTTAAAATTAATAATAAAAAAATAAATCAAGTGTAGATGTTCAAGCTGCCTTACTAGACACTGGTCAGATCCCTAGCCTGAGGCATAGGCCACATAAGGTAGAGTCACTTTATAGTTCTGAGGGTACATTCATTGCGCCATAGGCCAGAACTCTATGATACCGAGGCTGTGCTAGCATTTCGGCTTTAACTGCTGTGTTCATCTGTGACTCTTTCTTAGACCTTTTCTTTGAATTAGCTACCTCTTTTTACAGTGACATGTGAGTCCAAGCAGGAGGAGCCACGGGGAACTCCATTCTATATGCAGTGAAAGTGTACTGCACTCCATGAGGTCTGGGCTGTTTTGTTCTGCTTCCAGGGAGAAGCAGTAGTCTCTGATCCTCTCTTGGCTTTCCAAGTTGGTCCTTGAACAGTTTGTCCCTATACGTGTTAGACATCCTGGTCCAACGAGGAGACACAGAAGTAGCTCATGGTCCCCTGGACACATTCCCCTTCAACAGCCACCCCTAGTTAGGCTCCATTATCGTCGATAACTTAACCTCAACCAGTCCACTCTCCTTACCTTTCTGATGGCTTAAGGATTGCTACAGATTTCATTTAGTAACTAATCCTGAGGAAGGGATTATTTCTTTGCCCCTGGCTTCAATGACCATGCCACCCATTGCTTAGACACAAAGGAACTTCTTTAAGTCTGCTAAAAAGACAGCACCCTTAAAAATCAAGTTTTAATTTTTAATTTTTCTTGAGACTTTCAACCATAGTTCCATCCCTAAAGGTCATATTTAGTAATGATTCTGCGTTCATACACCTGTCATCCAGGCCTGCAAGTCTTTACTACTAAAGTGCCAATGGAGGGGTCAGTGATTTTTAAATACAGTTTTGCTATTAGCCATATTTTTCGTTAGACAAATATGTTCATTCTGAAATAAAAGCTGTAGCCTTGCCCATTGACCAAGACAAATAATAATCATCGAACTTTTATAATTTTTGTGTATATGACAAGAACAGTTTAATGAATCCGTTTATGGCAGCACCATTAAATGTACATTCAATTATTGCCTAGAAATCCACCTTTAAAAAAAAGAAGACTGCAGGGAAAGAACCTTTTTCACTGAAGGATCATTAATACATTTACATTTTAAAATTACATCCCTAAGGGAGCCTGGGGAAACTAGTTATTTTTTATTTTAAGTGTCATTTGGTATTCCCTTTATTGCTTTATCTTTGTAGGTCAGGACAACGAAAAGAACTTGAGATGAAAACCACCTGATGGCCAAGAAATAAAAGTCAAAAAGTCATAGTAAGGATGCAGATACTTTGCTCATGCATTGACTTAAAAGAAAAATAAAATGGTCACAGACCCTTTGCTTTGAGAATTAAAGTACCTACAAACTAGCCTCAGCTTTTCTTCTCTACGCTGTGAAATGGAGGTGTTTATTCTTAAATATACCACCGTCAAAATGAAAAATCCTCCACCCCTCAAAAGAAGAAATTTCTCTAATCATTTTTTTTAATTGCACTCGGTTGCTTTTGCAAATGGAGCTTGCCTTGTCCTCCTGAAACACAAGCCCTGTTTCAGAAACAGAGTTAAAAAAAAAAAAAGTATTTAATAGGAACCATTGCTTGGGTTGACTTGTTTTTGCCTCGGGGTCTAACTTCGGACTTGAATAGAGTCTGTGTGGCTGCTTTCCAATGGTCTGCTGCATCATCATATAGCAAAACTGAATTGTTTTGACGAGAGCTGGTGAATAGGCTATGTTTGGACAGGCTGGGTCTGTTTTTAGCCATTAAAAGGGGCTATTAAAACTGCTGAGCTGTCATTAGAGCACATTGTGAGGTGCCCAAGACAAAGCAGCAAGAAGTAAATTGGCTTTCTGCATCCAGAGGCCCTGAGTCTGGAAGGACATTATACTGTCAGGCAAACTCCACTTAACGGTGCGGAGTGGAGACCAACAGTTGTACCAGGTGTGAGTGAAAGGAGCTCAGCTTGAATTAGACTCTGGAAAAGTGCTTTGCGTTAAAAGGAACAAAGAGAAAGAGAGACAGAACTTCAAGTTTCTAGTACTGGTCAGCAAATTGGGCCATGTTCTCCGGTTTCCCTTCTTTGCAATGCAGCAAAACCTCATTAATTTGGAATAATTGGAAGACGGAAGGTGTTGGGCTTTCCAAGTTAAAAATAAGGAATTACACAATATTTTTGGAATACAGCCATCATATTACTTTATAGCCCCAGGCTAACAATTGCTATTAACCAAAGAGCCTATTTAATATCTATAGTCCAAAAGAGCAATTTGTGATTAGCACACTACTGCTGATATGCAAATAGAATGCTTTAAGTTTTCGCTATTTTTTTTTAAGATTTCTTCAGTGGGATACACATTCCTCTCGCATTCTCTTTACACTATTGATTTCATTGGTAAAGCCAATTATAATATAATAATAAAACTTGCCGCAAAGCTATAAACTTGAGCTCTGCTTCCATTAGAATAATCTCAAATTCTGAAAGAGTCTGAATTATAAATGAGTTCGAAAAAAAATCTTACTGCATATTG